TAGCGGCCCTCGCCTGATCTGCTTGGAATCAGACAGGGTTATCTCAACCTTCTCGTTCGATCCTAACCTCGAGCCATGCCCATAGAATCTCCATCGAGGGGAGGCCAGCGGGCCATCTGAGTTGGTCTATGGAATGGCTCAGGCATCTGCCGGGAGGCGGGTTAAGGAGTAGTGGAATGCCACATGAGGGCTATGCCGACCCTGTTACGAACGACGGACCTAGATTCCACTCGGATATACCCATTAGAGAGCTCGCCGAGCACATCACTCGAGCCATCAAGACAAGCGACGTTAGCTCAGCCCCTCCATTTGCGGAAACCGTGGATGGGGTAACACACGAAACTAAACCAACCCCTCGGCCACGCCTGGCACTTGGGTTCGGGCTTCGTCATGCCCGACCCCCCGACCCCCCGACCGCACCCGATGTCTGGGTTGGCGCGACGCCTGGGACCACGCTCCCAGAAACAATGGCTCAGAATGCTGGCAAGTCAAAAAATCCCCAAGGCGATTCTACCTGAATTGCTCGGGGGCTCGGGGGTTACACCCACTGGTTGCGCTCGCGCGTACCCGCTGGCAAGTCAAAAAATCCCCCAGGCGATTCTACCCGAATCGCCTGGGGGCTCGAGGGCTACACCCACCGTGTGCGCTCGCGCGCACCTGCCGGAGAGTCAAAAAAACCCCAAGCAATTTCTAGGACCACCAAGGCCACGCCCCTTGTTGGGCTCTGCCTTGTTCGACCCCCGAGGGCTGGCTCCGCCTCGCCCGACATCTGAGGGCTGGCCCCACTTCACCCGATCCCTCGGACACGGTCCCTAACAGGAGTTCGCACCACCGCCAACCACTATGGGCCAAATAGTACAACCCCTAGTCAAACTTTTGCCATCGTACAGGGAGCGACCGAGTCTCAGCACGACCCGTCTCCGTGATATGACATTCAGGGGACTCACATCAACCCATAGTGATGGATGCATGATCACTATGCTACCTGCACCCTGTACGACCGCTGATTAGCATGCTGGTTCGTCAGTCTGATGTCTAGGTCGGCGCTCCGTCGCGCCCGATCCCTCGGCCATGCCCAACGCATGGGTCCACGCTCCATCGCGCCCAATGGCGGTTCATGATCTTACGCCCATCCGTTGCTCCCGTACAACGAGTATAAACAACCCCTTCACGACTTCACAGAAGTCCCAAAAGGGCTCAGGGGCTCCTGTCGGGTTCATAAACCCAGGATCCCCGATGGGCCCGCTTCCTAGCAAAAGCTCAGCCCAGCAGATGGCATTACAACAATGCCCAACACCTGGGCTGGCCTAGATACCTAACGATAGGCTAGAAGAGCGATCCAAGTCTCCGACCGGAAGGCCTTGCCAAGGAGGGGATGACGATCGCTTCTGACTCTGACCCATGTCTCTGACCGAAGGCCTAGCCAAGGAGGGGACGACGCTCGCTTTCGACTCCGACCCGCATCGCTGACCGGAAGGTCTGGCCAAGGAGGAGACGATGCTCGCTTCCGACTCTGACTCGCATCTCTGTCCGGAAGGCCTAGCCAAGGAGAGGACGACGCTCGCTTCCGACTCTGACCCGCGTCTCCGACTGGAAGGCCCCGAACCTCTGCTTACGGCTCTTCTCGACCATCGCGGTCGAAGCCGACTAGGAACGATCGAACAGGGACGCCTGCTCGGTAAAGACCCAAGAATCAGGCAGAGCAGATAAGGCAATGCGCTCAAGTCAACCGCAATAGCGAGGACCATACCCTGCACATCTACAGGACAGTACTGTCAGGCCTTGCCAGAAGGGTGCTTTACAACCTTTCAGACATGTCAGAACACGAACAGTGTTGTGGAAGTCGACATTTGTCCTACAGTATGGTAGGCGCCGACATTTGCCATACCAGAAGAACACGATAGAGCCTGCCACATGCATCTGGGCGTCAACAGTATTGTGGGCGCTGACAAAACTATCTTGTACCTGATGGCGTGGGCAACAAGACTAACACACACACACACACACTCTCAACTTGTAAAGCCATCCCCTTCGCCTATAAAAGGGGATGCGCTCTCTCCTAAAAGAGGAACAATTGATTCCAACACTCTCTCTGGTAGGCTCTAGAACTCTAAAGCCACACAGAGCATACGTTCCAATACTTAGTGCACGTTGGAGCTCCTGTCACTCTTGGCTCTTCGGTTCAGAGTCCAACCGGACCTTCGACACCCCCTTCTTATTCCTATTCGTTTGTAACCCCACAACAAACTTCGAGTACCTGGGCTTAGGAATAAAGTCTCCGACCGACTGGAACTGGACGTAGGGCACGTTGCCTGAACCAGTATAAACCCTATATCATTGAGTGCTAGGTCACATCCGATCATAACGTACGGCAAAACTACAAACATTTACTGGTTGGTCACTTTTCACATCGACACATTATCTTTTATGAGCTATTCTTGCCTATGTTATATGCCTACATACTTTATTCTCTTTGTATAATAATTTTATAATTACATAAAATTGGTAAAGCAAAATGGCTACTTTTGCCTACCATTCTTATTTAAATTTCTTCACTTAACCCATCATTTTATTAAATATTATCCATTTTAATTTAGTTCACTTCGATATTGAGATTATTAGAAGTGCACTTTGATTTCATTTCACTTTTGTTATCAATGAACTTATAAGTAAAATTCTACATTTATGTTGAATTTAACAAATATGCACTTTGAGTTGAATTGAGTAAATATCCGAATAAAAATCCAAATATGAGACATTCGTTTTGCATTCGTATTCGACCAGATCCGTATCCGTATTAAAATGCTTACCACAGTATAGGTCTAACCTTTTGAGCCTTGCATAAGTTCATGTTATACTTTTTTTTGACTATGGTGTGCTCACACTTGCTATAATTTAACAAAATCCCGGATGGGTAGTAGATGGTGGAATTTATGTTGAAGACCTTGTGGAGTTCTAATGTTTTAGGCTGAGGTTAACCAATCGATGTCCCTTTGGCTTATGGAGTCTCACCCAAGTTTAGAGAATCACTCCCTCTATGTTTCTATTAAAAACTAGTAAGTCTTGATGTAATGACTGTTTTAATGTTATGTAATAATTAATAATGCACAATTTCTAGTATCTTCCTTATTTGTCACTGGATTGTGTGATACTGACTTTCTGGCACAAATATTGTTGGTGCTCATTTTTATCCTTAAAAACCGGGTGTGTTAAGTACATACTCAATTACTTCAAAAATGATTTTTTATTTTTACTGTAAATCAAACTTTTCTATTTTGACTAAATTTTATATTAAAATATGCTAACATCTACATCATCAACTTAGTTATGGTAAATTCACTGTAGAACTTATCTTAATATTGTACTTATTTGGTATGGTAGATGTTACTACATATGTTTTCATAAACTTGTCAACATTATAATATATATTCGTTCCACCCCTACCCTAAAGTAAGGCCATATTTCTAGCTGTAAAGTATTTTTTGTTAGATTTGGTCCCACCAACCATTTCAATTGTAGCAATCATCACCTTTATAAGATTTTTCATGTTTTTCCCCAACGTATAAGTTGATTTCGATGTATACACTTTGTGAGTAGAAGTACTTTTTTTTTTTTAAAAAACGATACTGTGAATAAGCACTGTGTTACCCCACTTTGCAAGCTTTTTTCTGGCTGCAGCATGTTTACCTAATACAGTAGTGGCATCTCAATTATGAGCCTTTTCTTCAAGGATTTCGTATGATTTTTTTTTGATATACTGCACAGATACTGATCGAACGGACATAAAGGCCTTATTTAAATTTAGGGTGTAAAGTTTTGGGGTGTCACATCAGATATTACATGAGAATGTTGCTTGAGATGTTCGGATACTAATAAAAAAATAAATTACAGAATCAGTTGGTAATCCACGAGATGAATTTATTAAGCCTAATCAATCTGTCATTAGCACATACGTTACTGTAGCACCACATTGTCAAATCATGGACTAATTAGGCTTAAAAGATTTGTCTCGCAAATTAGTCACAAACTACGCAATTAGTTATTTTTAGTCTATATTTAATACTCTATGCATGTGTCCAAACATTCGATGGAATATGGAATCTCTACCACATATAATGCACCGATAAAACTTCCCTAAAGCCACACAAAAAACTATCCACCAGAGTCGTGATCTCTCCTAAGTGCACTAAAAAATGCACTCAACAAAACCTAACTTTTCAAATGAAAGAACGAGATTCATTCTATACACCCCTTTCTCTTACTCACTCATATCCAACGGGCCAAATTATTTGGATCAAACCTCATCACTCTCATCCCTCCTCCCATCCCACACCCGCCCCATGCGCGAAGCAGCGCGAGGCGTGACTCTCCCTCTCCTCATATGTTACTGTAGCACCACATTGTCAAATCATGGACTAATTAGGCTTAAAAGATTTGTCTCACAAATTAGTCGTAAACTATGCAATTAGTTATTTTTAGTCTATATTTAATACTCCATGTATGTGTTCAAACATTCGATGGGATAGGGAGTCTCTACCACATATAATGCCCCGATAAAACTTCTCTAAAGCCACACAAAAAACTATCCACCACAGTCGTAAACTCTCCTAAGTGCAAAAAAATGGACCCAATAAAACCTAACTTTTTAAATAAAAGAATGAGATTCATTGTGTACACCCCTTTCTCTTGGTCACTCATATCCAATGGACCAAAACCTCATCACTCTCATCCCTCCTCCTCCCGTCCCGCACCCGCCCCACGCGCGAAGCAGCGCGAGGTGTGACTCTCCCTCTCCTCGATGCCCCCTCTCACGCGCGAACTCTTCCGCTCCCTGATGTCCAGCGCCCGCCCACTGAATCCAGGCTGCCAGGGAGCCACGCCGCCGCCAAGCCTCTAGGGTGCCAAGGCCGCCACGCCGCCGGAAGCACGCCCAGCCGCGAGGCCGCCACACCACCGGACGCACGCACGCCCAGCCACGAGGCCTCCACGCTGTCGGCCGCATGCCACGCCGCGAGGCCGCACACGAAGGACGGGACGCCAGGGCAGTAAGTATACTGCTTTGCATTTCATTTGCTTTTCAGTGTGCTACAAACATGTACTGATGATGTACATCATCATGATTTTCCAGCTTCCACTGTCATTACACTTTCCAGATCGCCAATGTTCTAGCTTCCAACAGAAATCAGCATTGAGTGTGTTGAATTAATTAAGGATTGATGCTTTGGAAATATGGTTACTTTTTGTTCCTCAAATGCTTTTAGAACTTATCCGCATCTGCCATACAAAATACAAGAGTATTAGTTCCGGAGAAAGTAAGTGGTTATTTAGAATGTTATGTCTGAGATACACAGTATTTTGTAGCAATTCCGATCCTTAGATTATTATGCAACCAAGACAATATTTGTTCATTATTCCTTCTAATATATGATTTGTATCAATTCTGATCCTTACATTATTAGGTGGTCCGTCATGGGGGATAAACGACCAACCCGCCCTGCTTTTAGCGACATATCAAATATCATCAGACGGGGTATGTTAGCTGCCATGGTTCCTGGTCAGTTTCTCAGAATATTTTTTTGCGAAACTGCGACACACATTATATACGTGAAGGTGAACCAGCAGATGATGAAGAGAGAAAAAAGAGGGAGGAAAGGAATAGAAAACAACGTGAATACCGCACATGGAAAGGGGCCGAGGAAACCACCGAACAAAGAGAAGAACGGAATAGAAAGCAAAGTGAATACCGTGCAAGGAAAAACACACCGGCAATACTAACGACTCCTGATCATGGTATCCTCAATCTGATCATGTATACTATTCTTCTTTGTTTATGCATCGAAATGAGTAACACGCTTAATTTTTATACACCCAGAACCATGTGATGTAGAACCTATATCCGGTTGCACAGATGTTAAAATGACAGAAGCAGTATATTCCACCTTGGCGCCATCTCGGTTGGGTACGTCGTCTCTGTCGATGCAATTGATTATAATTCTTTACGATATACGAAGAGATAATAAAATATAATATGGCTCTGGTAAGTGTTGTTTAAATGAAAACTAAAAGTCGCAGGAGGAAAAACACCACAAGAAAGTGGTGTTTTGGCCATTTGTCAAGCATCAATACATCGTGACCAGGAAAATGATAATCCAATTGAGTCCAATGACTGGCTACATAGGAATGATGAGTACGTCAGGAAACAACGACCACCATTGAGGCCTTTGCAGACCAAGAGTTCAAACGGCACCGTAATTAATACAGGTATGTTACCATCTAACTAAAACATTGTAAATTTCGAGGGGTGGAGATTGGATCAAATATATCTCTTGTGTGCAATAGTGATCAGGTGCCAGCTCAAGCACTGCAAGCAGATCAGTTTCCGAAACTGGTACCTAAACATGGATGTGACAACCAAGGCAAAATTGCTACAGCAGAGGTGGGACTATAAAAAAGCAAGAGCAGCGGATAACAACCACCGAGCGTGCCCTACTCTTATCCAGGAAGAAAATGTTAACCATATGCCTGTGACACATGTACATCCGAGATGTGTAGACACCAATGATGAAGTCGAGTTTGATACTGCTTTATTCGAACCTACAAACCATGATTCTGATGATGAAGGTTGGTTTTACAAATCTGTACACCAATGCAGTTTTTTCTTTGTCAGCAATTTGTTGCATGCATCACCTTAATTTCAAGCGCCTATGCAACAGATCATATACGTGACATAGAAGAGGAATTGGTCATAGAAGATGCTCCTAAAGATTTTGAGACAATGCAGTTTCTTGGTGGAGGTAACTATTACTTAAATTATTATTTGTAACCATGTGGAGTGACTACCATACTGACATATTTTTCAATATATAAAAACAGAATGTGCATTCCAGTCATATCGTGTCAGTGATGATTGCACTGGCAACGCGGCCTGATGATCCTACTTGCCGGAAGAGCACCATGTTTTGAAAAAGGTTTGTGACTGCCGATATTGTGGAGCCATGAGATTTGAAGGCGAACCACCGGGATTCTGTTGTAGAATGGGAAAGATAAAAGTGCATATCCATGATGTACCTACTGAGTTGAAGAGGTTGTTCACGAGTTAGGTGGATACTGATGCAAAATATTTTAGAAAACACATACGGTACTTCAACTCTCACTTCTCATTCACAAGTCTCGGAGTTACACTGGACCGAAGATACTACACCGCAGCTGGTACCGGCGTATATACATTCCGTGTACATAGTGCGATGTATCATCGTCTGGACCATTTGCTGCCAGGATCTAAAGGCCCACGTCACCTACAACTCTACTTTTATGACACAGCAGAAGATGATACGTTGTCGCATAGAGTGAAAAGGTCACCTGATCTTGATATAAATATCATAAGAAATGTGCTCAGGATACTACAAGCAAATAACCCTTATGTACAGACCTTTAATAGAGCTGGCTCTATTCCAAATCTTGGTGACTATGTAATTGAGCTCAACACTAATGTGACACCTGACCAACGAAGGTACAACCTCTTCTCTATTACTCGCCATTTTTTAAAATTTTTAATAACCAGCGAATATACTACTTCCTCTTTATTTAATCCGTGCATAACAGGTATAATGCCCCTGCTGCCTCACAAATTGCTCCTATCTGGACCGATGGAGATGACCCCAAAGATGTTTGGATAGGAGTGTTATTGTATACCCCAAAGGAGAGAAGATGCGCTATATCAAGATTGTATACCCCAAAGGAGAGAAGATGCGCTATATCAAGGCATATCATGGTTGTTATGACCCATTGGCATATCTTTTGTTAAATGCTAGAGGAGAAACTGGATGGAATAAGTTCATGCCATACAATGACACTCCCAAAGAATCGACGTCTCCTACTGATGGTGAGGATTCAGTACAGCAACCACTGGGTATGGCAACAAACTTCATCCTACTATGTATACAAATATATATATAATAAATAATTGTCGACACAGAATTTTCATCCCGTGCCGAGGACACACGCAGCAAGCCGAAAGGGTCTGCTCGATGGAGTTGTAGATCCGCCTAGCTTCAGCGCAGGGGTGGTTGATCCTGCGCACTCCTCCCGAGACATGCCAGTCAATTTGACCCTGTAATTAACAAGGAGAGAAAGTTCATAAGTAATTAATGGCGGAACTTGCCGGTGTTGCCAGACAGTCCCGAATGTGCGGCTATGAGAGCCGATATGAAAGGAGATCGACTAAATAGTCGATTCCAGCATATTCATAAGAATAGATCGGTTAAAGCTCATTGGGTTGCATAAGAAGAATTAATTATCATTCAGGATAAATGTCATTATTTAAACAAATATTAATCAATGGCAATAAGATGTCAACAATGATCGGTTTATGCTGAGCCAATGATTACAAGTAACCAAACCCTTTTTTATATAAAGAAATAATTCAACACCATTTAACCGTCTAATAAAGATAAATCTAATGAACATGTTAGATCTCATCTATTTGTTATGACCAGTGGGGCATGAGGCAGAATCATACAGGCCGTAGAAATAACGATAAACTCAACGACCCTAACTCATTACTAATATCAGTGGGGCATGAGACAGAATCATGCAGGCCGTAATACAATAATAAGATCATGGGGCTAACATATCTTTCAACCTATCTTTACTTCAACGGTCTCATGATGCGAACAATTCATTAAAGTACTCGATATCGGCTAAAACAGCCGATTCAGGCATAACGCACAACTAAAGTCATGTCTTATCAGAAATAAATCTATCAAATAACGGTCCCCACTCCATGGTGCTAACAGTGGGGTGTGAGGCAGAATCACACAGACCGTGATAACGGGCCATGGAATGGTTCTCGCTAGCCAATAAATCTACTCAAGACACAACATGCTTTAACCGCACGCTACGCACGATCAAGATTGATGTAAAACAGTTGATAAAACGTAACTCATCGTTTAATGTATAGATTAGATCAGTTTCAGATTAACAAACGATGGGCTAAATAAGATATAAGGTCGATCTAGATCAATCTCAATCGGGCAGAGTGATATTGCTATAATTTAGATAAATAATGAAAGCAATAAGCAATATCGGTAACTTAATAAATCTACCAAAGACTGCCATTCTAAGGTAGAGCCGATAACTTGACCTTGATCTTGTTCATGCAATGGGGGTCGACCGGATCGATGCAGCCATACTTGAACTAGACAAGAATCGATAACTAACTTATACCAGAGTCGTAGTGGAGGTCGACCGGATCAATGCAGCCATATGAACAGAGGTATAAGCCATGACGGTACTTACAACAAGCAGTGGAGGTCGACCGGATCGATGTAGCCGTACTTGCTAAAGAACTCGTCGAGATCTACTCTACTCCTACTCCTAAGGGGTGGCCGAAGCCGAAAAAGTAAATAACTTGTATATTGGATTGATTGTTGTTTTTTACAATAGCCGGGGCTTGATATTTATACCCGGGACCTGCGCACGACTCCTATCTAAGCACGATTCATCACAATTTTTGACCCTAAAGAAAACATTCCTAATTTAAGATAACTTGGACTCTAATCTTTCCCTTTTTGTAGAGTCCAACATGTTTCGTCCTGGCGCCGAACGTAGCCTTTGTCGTTATCCGCTGGCGCTATCTGAAGAAAGCCGATTCTAGTTTTTGCATCCGAATCAGTTGGTTTCGATCTGCACGCAATTGATTCCTTGATGACACGATCTTGGGAGCTTTCGAGTCCCTACGACTCTTCTTCCAAATTTTGGTGTAAACACATGCCCCTCAATTTTGGGATAAAAGTAATTTTATTCCAAAATTATCATGTCTGTATCCCTGATTGTTCCATAGTCATGGGTAGAGAACCTTATTCTGGGTTCCACTGTTTGTCGCCGCTTGCGTCAACTCATGAGCCTATGTCTCAAAACTTTTTACAAGAGTGTCACTGCTTCACGGGCACTTGGATTCATCTTCTCGAGCCGGCTATAAAATGCCTATCCAACCCTGGCGAGAGCAACTCAACAATTCAGCCATGTTTTTCTTCCATCTGCTCCCTCGAGTGCTCCTAGGTCTGCTAGACCCTCCATGTTCTATCTTATGAAGATCTCAAGCGGCTAGAAGAATTCTTGTGCATAGGGTGATTGCGGTTAGAAGAATTCTTGTGATATCACCTGAGTCTTCTCTCCATGCTCACAAAGCTGTTCTAGTGTTTGCGAGGGCTAGAATGTGCGGTCATCTTTCCCTTGTTGCTCCTCCAAACGCCCATCGGGAAAGCCTCAGGCTTCTTTCCCATAGTTCCTCAATTTATCGAGAAATCTGTTGAGCATATGTTAGGCGTGCGACCTTTCTTCTTCCCTGGTATAATTTTATTGATGGGCCGATGCGACTCGGTTCACAATGAGTTTTGGCCTTGTGGAAATCCGAACTCCCTTCAATCCAAAGAAGTTTTGGTGGGTTAATCTCTGGTCAATGTATCCACCCCACGATATTTTGTAATCTGGGGAAGTAATAAATTCGAGTCCGTTATCTCTTCGTTATCCGTCCCCTGAATTTCCGGAGTGTTGATCCATTTCCGTTTCTGATTTCAATTTCACACCTCCATCAAAATCTATCTTCTGTTTTTCCCGGGCTATATATGCGGGCTACGGCTGTGATAAAAAAACAACCCTCTTCGTCTCAATCCTTCTTTGTCTTCAGTATATTCCCTGCCTTTCCGTAGGTTTGAGGTCATGGAGAACAATAAGAGGTCTGCTGAAGAAGCCCTCAATGGATCCACGTCATCACGCCAACGCCCTCGTCATCAAGAGGACGCATCTTGGGGTGCTCCCATCGCTTCGAATCAAAGGGCTGACTCCGCCTAGCCCTTGGGGTCATCTTTGGCACCAATTCGCTGCCAGCTTCCTCATCACTTGAGGCGACAGATTAGTAATGACGATCTGCTGGCCTCCATCGATCGGACTGACCAGCATCTAGCCAACTGCCTCTCCCTAGCAGAATCGGCTTTGGCCATGATTAAAGACCGATCACCCCCCGAGGTCTGGCCTGGTGAGGGAAAGGTTGGCCAAGGCTGAAGCTAGAATCATGGGTGAGATGTCTGCCATTATTTCTCTGTTTTTCCTTGATTTTACCCTCAAGATTTTTTATCACTCTTTCCTTGAATATTTTAGATCTAACTGCTCAGTTGGAGAGTCTTCGATCAGCTGCGGATCATGCGGCGGGATTTGTCAATGATAGGGGCGCCATTCCGGTGGTTCGCTTGCATGACATCCCAAATCGTGTCAGGGAGGTCGCCCTTCATGGCGTTCGTCATGGCGCTGCCATGGCGTTGGCTGCTGCACAAGCCCGTTCAGGCCATAATCTTCGGCTTCTTCCCCATGGTTTTCTGAACGTAGCGTACCCTGGGGAGCATGAGCACTTGGTTGAAGATTTTATGAGCGCCGCCAACTCTGTAGCTTTCAATACCCTAGCCAATGATATAGTAGGCAAAGTGTTTTCTGGCCTATAGCTTGTAATAGGTGACGTTTAGCAAACAACTTCCTCGCCTTGAGTGATTTCCCTTTGTTTCGTGCTTCATACCCATCACTTTGTTCGTGTTTGCTTTGTTTCTATAGGCGATACACATCGTATCGGCTTTTACTCTTTTGGGTTTATTTTTTGCACTTTAGATGATACCTTTCCAATATCGGTTATTAAAGTTATCGACCGAACATATCGTTTATTAAGTATTGATCCAAACGCTAGGATAATATTTCTTTAAATATTTCCTGTTGATTGCTCGGCCAAATTCTTCCTCTCCTTTTAATATTTCCAAAATATAAGCATTATTAGGCGCACAACGTTTGATCCGATAGGATCCTTCCCAGTTAGGTGACCATTTGCCAAATTTATTGTCCTTTGATCCGATCGGCAATTTCACTTTCCAGACCAAGTCTCCTTCAGAGAATTGCTTAATCTTTACCTTTTTATTGTAATATTTCGCAACCCTCAGTTTATTGGCTTTGATATTTTCAAGAGCACGCAGCCGAAGACAACTCAAGTCTTCTAAATTGTCTATCATAAGATTCTTATAAACTTCAGCTGACAAATCATTCTGTAGCGTAACATGCCTCGATTCAGTCTAGAGCCCCAAGGAAGAACTGCATTATGGCCATACACAAGTTTGTAAGGTGACGTTTTAATTGATCCATGACAGACCATCCTATATGCCCACAGCGCCTCATTTAGCGTCGAATGCTACTTCCTTGGCTGTTCCTCGATCTTTTTCTTGATCAGCATAATCATAATCTAGTTGGACGCCTCTGCCTGGCCATTAGCCTGGGCATAGTAAGGGGAGGAATTCAATAGCTTGATTCCCATACTGGCAGCAAAATCCCCGAACTCTTTTGATGTGAACATTGTTCCTTGATCAGTAGTTATAGTTTGAGCAATTCCAAAACGATATACAATGTGTTCCCTGACAAAATCAATCATGTTCTTTGAGGTTACCATCTTCAAAGGAATTGCCTCAACCCATTTAGTGAAGTAATATGTTGCCACCAATATGAACTTATGTCCTTTGCTTGAAGGCAGAAAAATCTGGCCAATTAAATCAATTCCCCAACCCCAAAACGGCCATGGTTTGATTATTGGATTCATGGTCGATGCAGGCGATCTCTGGACATTACCAAAACGTTGATAGTCCTGACACCCCTTGTAATATTCAAAACAATCTTCTAGTATCATTGGCCAGAAATATCCAGTTCCACGAATAATCCATTTCATCTTATAAGCCGATTGATGAGCTCCACATATTCCTTCATGCACCTCACCCATTA